GCGGGGCACCGTCAGGGCCTCCAACCGGGAATTGGAGGCGCTCCGGGGGGTGCTGCAATAAGGAGAATCGATCATGCAACGCGGCTGCCACCTGATCCGAAATATCACTAAAGGAGGGATGAGTAAAAGGAGCACAAGCAGGGAACAAGTCCCGCCAGACCCCAGGTCTCAGGTGTCCCCGACCCTCAGGCAGCCTACCTAGCCCACATGAGTTTTCCAGGGCCTGTCGAGTGAATAAGCCATACGAGAAGCCCAGGCACCGGGGCCAGCTAATCCGGAAAACCCTGTCTAAAGTAGGAAAACCAACTGCAAGTAGCAGTCGTGAAACCTCAGGGCAATAGAGGAGGACCACCACCACAACCTAGGTTAAGCCTAAGAAGGAGCTAAGCAAACATCTACCACCACAACACGCTATAACGCCCAAAACGTAAATAAAAGCCAATCCCCGAAATCACACAAGCACACAAGCAGCCAGATAGAAACATCGGCCGCCACATTTGATAGTAAAGCGGACTGGGCTAGCCACAGTGCGCCCCAACAGCAAACACACACACACACACACACCAATCCAGGGCAAGGCAGAAAGCCCAATACCCCTGACTCACCCCAAGGGCGAGGACATCCACAAGCGAGGAAGCTTTCTACTAGGAAGTGCTTCCCGAACGCCCCAAGGAAGATAACTCGACGCAAGGGCAGTATTTACGAAACACCTGGGAAAGGGAACCCCCTAGAAGCATGCTGCTCCAGTACTCCAAACTCCTGGCAACACGCACATATCTATTTCATAACACCGCCGCAAGGGCGGAACACACAAAAAAAGGGAATACGGAGCCAGAGACATAGCGACCACTCAGCATGATTACATTAGTCAAAGAACTGGAGTGTGGCAGCCTGACCTACCCAGGCTGGGTAGGTCAGGTAGCCACCCCCTCCCCTCCCGTCGCAAGAGGGTGGAGCTAAAGAGCGAAGGGTTAGTTAGAAAAAGTATCTTTCTGGGTGCCTTCCCTGGTCGATGGGAAGATGACATACATTAAATGTAAAGTGTTCATGTGCCGTTGCTCCCTTTGTGTCTCTAAGGGGGACAGGTTCTGGGTTATGGTCCGTGGTAGGCTTACAAAGAACTCTGCGACTGATGACACTCAAGTAATGTGGCACTTGATCAGTAAGATAAATTCAGAAAACCCTGGGGTTCCCCCTAGAAAATAAAATAAAAAATACAATAAAATTACATGTACAAAAGGCTGATCATCTTTAACTCCTATATATATAGTCTTTTCCAACTGACTAAGACTTGATGTGCCCATGCATATTTTTCTGTAGATCTGATTTTTTCAGCAATGCCTTATCAGACTTTAAAAAGGCAAAGAAGTCCCTGCAAGACGTATCTTGGAAATTGTACTGTACAGTCAGAATACCTTTCATTGTATCAACAACTTTTTCCTTTCCTTAGTCCACTGACTTTGCATCAGCAAAAAAACTCTCTCAACATTTGCATTGTGGGATGTTACAGCAAAGAAATATTGTGCACTTCTTATCAGTTCTGAGTGGCATTCAATAAACGAGATCTGTACAAAGGTCTCATTACAGACTACAGATTTTTTGGACCTAGTAAATATATATATACAGAGAATTTTTTAAATGGTGGAAGCTGAAATTCCAGACTTTTGGAGAATTTTTAAAATTCTCCCTGGACACAAATTTTGACACCGGAATCCTTTTGACACATGCATAGTTGAAGGAACTACAGATGAGAAAGTCAGGCTATTCATTTTTTATTAATTTTATTTATTGGAATTTTACAGGTGCTTACCTGCAGTGAGAATTTGTCCAATTTTGTGGGGCACATGGTAAAAAAAAACTGCCATTCTCCTGTTTAGATAGTACTTTAGTAATGATGTGGACCATCGTACAAATGGACAATTAGAAAGTAAAATTTAGGATTTCATTTCTTTGTTTGCAGCCGCCTCCTTTTCTGGGTAAGAATGAGTCAGGGGGGAGGGGAGGAGTGCATCAGGAGGGGTCCTGTTTTAGTTTGATTCTTGGTTTGTTCGGTCAGGGTGCATCATCTTCCATGTCCGGTTGAGGCCGTCTATCATTATTTGCACACCTCTTGGCTGGCTCCAGTCGATGAAGTCTATTGATCTGGTGTGTCTTCTGGTCCACGTTTCAAGGCCCATTTATTACAGGTCATCTGCAGTATCAAGTTTAGCCAGTCTGCCATCTTCCCTCAGGCCCATGATGTTCATAAGTTTGCAGCTCTGTCTGCAGTTTTTTTAATGTCTTCGGCTGATAACTGGGCTTGGAAATTTTGGTGCTTTAATGTGGTTTTGGTGACAGGCTATCTCAAATTTCCAGCACCCACATCAGGCTTGTGTAGCATTGGGTTGACTGACTCTCCACTCATTTCCCTTTCTTGAAAAGACCATGTTCTGCTGCTTTTCTCCAATCCTGGCGACTTCCACAATTTTGTTTATTCTCAGTGGTGAGATAGCAACAGGAAGCCACCTTAGACCCTTTCAAAAAACCAAGAGTTCATAGAAATAAAACTCTGAAGGAAACTTATTTCCTTAGTTCCAAGGTGGCTTCTTTCCCTCTCCTTCAGGAGTTTATTTGCCATCATCATCTTTATGACTGGAGTGGATCAGCTCCCAGTGCTGCCACCTGGTGATGGGGAGGAGTAACTACATAATTGCCGAGGATCTTGTTTCCTGGTGTCTTTACATTTACCATGTTCTGTTTTGTCTCGCTTATCTTTCTAGTCCCTATTTCCTTGGTTAGTGTGATCTAGTACCCTCTGCTCTCTTTGCCTACGTGAGGGGACCAGGTTTTGGGCTCTGGTAGACTATTAATGACTCACATGGCCTTGTTGTGATTTGATAGATCTGGACCTATCCAATGAAGCTAGTAAGACAGCCACCTTGGACCCTTCAGAAAGAGGCATTTCATAATAATTCAGTGCCAAGTTTTTACAATGGCACAGCTAAAACAAAAGAATTTTTTTATTTTTAGGCTTTGTTGATTTTTTTGAGGGGGGGGAGGGGGAGAGAGGGAGTCAGTATTATTACAAGCTACAATCATATTCAAGGCCTGAAATTTTAACTTTTTACTGACTATAAACAATTTCATCAGCAATTTTAAGGAAAATAGCCTTTAAATGTTACTCATTATAATAAGTTTGAAAAATCAAATCTGTAATACTTAATAAGTTTACTTCTTCACTATTACCTACTAGACAGTGGTTAAAGAGTACAGTAATTTGAAAATATAAGTTTAATGCTTTGATTTTTCTATGTTATAAATTACTGTCATACTCATTTACTTGTCTACTTTTATTACACACAAAATTGTCTATATATTTCACCAGTTACAAGATCTCTTTACCTCCAAGGTGTATTAGCAGGATTACAGGAAGTAGTCAAATGTGGTAAAAATGCCTGCTTCTTTATTGACAGTAGAGGAGCGTTAGTCAGTCTTTAAATAGCAGATGTCCAGTATACCAGAATATTGTGATAGAGTGTAGAGAGAATGTTAAGAAATTAGAAAAAACTGGGTAACAGGCTATCTCATAAATAAAGTAAGATTCATGTGGATCCCTTCACATGTGGGAATACTGTTGAATGAGGTAGTTGAGATAGCGAAGAGAGCCACGGAAAAAACTTTTGTTGATGTTGTATGTCAGATAACCTTGAAACAAATAAAAACAAGAATCAAGATGATCCAAGAGGGTGAAGAAATGGTAAGGAGAATGGAAATGGTGGACAGTAGTAACACACTTAAGAATTATTCAATAATAAATACAAACTCGTCCTTCACCTATGGTAAAGGAAAGTCTACTTGGAAGGACTCAATTTACATGAGATTAAGATTAGGATACAAATATATCTGGCAATACGGTGTTGATGTCAGTGAAAAAGATAAGAAGTGTAAATTATGTAGCACGCCCACACCTTAGAACATTATGTATTAGAGTGTCAACTTATTGATAACTATAGAAATAAGGAAATAAGTAGTGTACCACATCAAATTGTTTGAATGTGTGATAATGGTATGACAGACAGTATACTTAGGTGCTACAAGAATTTTGCCCCAAGAGTGTAACAATTATATGCTGTGCTTACTATATTAACCTGCAATGTTAAATGGGATTCTTGTAATGTTATTTGTCTATTTGTACTCACTGAATTTGTGTGCCCCCCTTGAGGGATTTGAAGTAGACGGGGGTAGAAATAGCCTAAGCTACTCTATCCTTTAAGATGTATTTCTTTCTTGTCTCAATAAACATACTTGAACTTGAACTTACCTCATTCTTCACTAAAATTTTGTTTTTGTTTTTATATACTGTATGTGTAAGAGTCACACACCACTGGCAACACCACAATCAAGGAGGTGTACTTAAATCAACATTCTATCCCCATGACAAATGCATGGGGATAGAAAACTCTTTCTGGGTCAAGTTAACAGCCTCAGGTTGACATTCCAACATTGGGAGTCAAACTGGGAGGGATAGAGCTCAATACCTAAAGGAACTGCAGAGCTTACTCTTATAAAAAAGAAAACTATTACACTGTCTCCTAAACAAGGTATGGGTAGAATGGAAATAAGATCAAAGATCCTCAATACATAACAAGGCGGGATGGGATGGTATAGGATCAAGGTGTCTTGTAACAGCTCAGAAGACCATTAATATGGGACGAAGAAAATGAGCTGAGGAAGACTCACCTCAGGTTCTTTGAAGAGGCTATCTTGCTGTCCTCTTCCAAGACATGAAGGCAAGTATTTAAATGAGTTTTTATAAATGAGTCGGAATGGGTATTAAAAAAATCTGCTATGGAAAAATAAAGTGAACTGAACAGTGCAGCTGCAGAACGTTAGGGAAAGGCATAGGGACTAAAGTATTTTATGATTACTCTATATTTTAACTATGTTGCCATGTAAAGGGCATTGATGCATCAAAATACAAACTGTACAGTTGTTGCATAAAGAAAGTGACAGTGACCAACCTCTCCATTATCCATTACAGCCATAGAAGAAGTCTGCCCACAAGCTATGTCAACTACTCGTCTTCCTCCTATGATAGCAATTACTTTTCTTGGAGTAGGCTGGTTAGTTGTTGTTCCAGAACCAACCTGTCCACAGTTGTTTTGTCCCCAAGCTAGTACCTGTGGCAGCCATATAATAAAACATTATTTTATCTTTATATCACAAATGAAGAACATTTTCCTGTACACTAAGAAATTTATACAGTATATTGTAAACAAAATATAAGCAACTAGATATAGTGCAATCATAAGACACAAACAAGAAAGGCATTCTTGGTATCTTACACAAGTAACCTTGCTCAGACTATGCAATTGGAACCAGAACTTTTCCAACTCTCAAGAGAAATTCTGGCTCTATAAGCATTTTAAAAGTTTCCTCTATTCATTGCCTATAATTTCTCTGACCTTATATGATAGAACACATCTTTATGCATACACATACAAAATTCTATACAATCATTTTAAATATACAGTATTGGAAATTAACCAAAGAAATGAAAGTAGAGGGAAAACAAGTGAAAACAAATTTTTACTCAAGTGCTAAATTTTTCTTCTTTACCAGAATAGACGCTGTGAATATGTATATAGTACAGTAGTACTGTATGGAAAACAAAAACACTTTACAAACTCTCACAAAATGAGTGAACAAACTATTTACAATTAGCCACGTGCTTTTTGAACCCTTCGAGACTGAATGGATAACCTGTTGTGTTCAGGTAAGTGGTTCGTCATCCTGAAAAGCTAGGGGAAATTTTTTTTTACAATTTTGTTGCAGAAATTTTAGAGTTTTGTTTGTACTCACCAATATGAGAAATTCTGATCCGCTTGTTAACTTGAAGATTATAGTTGATGGTGCATTGCTATTTATATAGAAAGAGTGGTAGTGGATGATAATGTTGGGTTGACTGAAGTGGAGATTAATGGTGATGAGGTAACCCTCAGCAGACTGCCTTTCACCATGTACTCTAATGTACCTAATGCCATGGCAGAGTTTATAGCTTTAGTTTATGAACACTGCTCAAGTGGTGCTATGTATGGTCACTGGGCAAATTAGTTCCATATATATATTGCACATTTTTCTTCAGACTGGCAGTCTGAATAAAAAGTTTTGATAACTGGTGGGGTCCACTAGATATCCAAACTTTTTTATCTGAACTAACCCAAATAGGATAACAGGCATTCAGAAAAGGGCATTCAGAAAAAGGGCATTCATAAAGCACGTAGCTGACTAACCCTTGGACAGTAGCTATGGAGAAATGGATTACCTGCCTGTGTGCATAAAATTATAAAAAACCAGCTTTGAATGTATTGAAACGCCATTTTCTGGGTGAGTCCCGGAGGCTTCCCAGAGCTATCCAGGCTGAATGGATATGTATAACTTTCTGGCATCAGTCAATGTGCACGGAGTTCTTGCCTACAGGGAACCATAAGCCAGAACCTGACCCCCCCCCCCCTTCAAGAGAGGCACAAGGAGCAATGGCTTATAGAAACCCCTGCATGGTTGGGAGCATTCTATGTCTGCTATCAACTGGATCTAACACCCAGAAAGGTAGGAGCGCCAAAACAAACCCCTATTCTGGTGAAACTATTGCTACTGAAAGCTGAATGAGTGGACAGAACTCTCCGAAAGAAAATTAGCAAACGAGCATGACGTCGCCGCGCCGCTGTTTGCACAACCCCCCCCCCCAATCCTCCCCGGGAGGGGGAAGGGGGAGCCCCAGACCCTCCACACTGGTGATCCATCCCTTCAGTTCTTAGGCTGGATGTCAAAATACGCAAAAAACACCGCTGACCGGGAGGGAGGGATGCCAGGGAGTCTCCGGGACTCGCCCAGAAAATGGGGTTTCATTATTTTCAACGCTGGTTTTCTCGGATAAACCCCGTTGGCTTCCCGGAGCTAACTACCCAAAGACAAGGAAAAACAGAGATTCACCCGGGCGGCGGTCAGTCCTCACACCTCAATGCGAAGCCGAGACAACTAGTTGCAACTGCCGACCCAATGCAACGCAGGCCCTACTAAGTCCAGGGACCTAGTAGGGCGGCCAAGGTAGCGAGTGGTCAGGACCCTGTTTGATCTCCAAAAACCCCGTGCCAGAATGTCAACCCAAAACATGTTACCAAAGATGGCCGCTAAAGCAGCAAACTTACGCATATCGTGGGCACGAGAATAAGACCGCAGGCTGGCTAGCCTTAATAATTCTGCGAATGACCTGGGAGACCCGAGCTCGGGAAGAGGGAAGAAGGGAAACCGGATCAACCCAAAGAGCATCCCCGGCCACCGAAGCCGTGGCGTGCAAATAACGGCAGAGTCGCAACCGGACACAAGACATGATGCACCCTCGGCCTAATCAACCAAGAATCAATAACCCAAGGACCCCTCCGGAAAGCAGCAGTCATTCTTTGCCAGAATAGAAGGAGACGGCTGCAACTGAACAAATTTACTACCAGGGCCAAAAGAGCGGAAACCCCTGCGCCGGAGGAGAGCATGAAGCTCCCCCAACCGGACCCCCAGAGGCCAATGCCAACAGGAAAGAGTCGAAGAAAAAAACATTCCCGAACGGAAGAGGCCACAACAAACCAAGGAGAAAAGAGAAAAAATAAGCACTCGGTCCAAATGACCAGAGCAGCTCATGCAGTGCATGAGCAGGACGAAGGTGAAACAACGCATGAGACAGCTGATGAAACGGAGCAGACGTAACATCAATACCGAACGCATGTTGGGGCGGCTTCGCCAGCACACCATGATACAAGGTGCCAGTATTCAGCATAAGATGACGGTCCTGAAACAACCAATAAAGGTCTCTGAACCACTATCAGAGACCGAAGTATACCTACGCAGTGATAGGAAAAACTGGAAGGACCGCCAGGAACTTCAAACTGCCACAGAGATGAAGCACACATGGGAGACTAACAACAAAGCCACCTGTGCTACATACAAGTGGTGATAGACACGAGTCAAACTCCAGATGCGAAGACTCGAGAAGAACGAACCAGCCTCATAACGGGCTGGACTGATCTGCTAAAAGAGGCGAAGCCACGTGAAGACCCTCGGGTTCGAACACCAAGCAAGTGGAGCCCGAAACCAAGGCTAAGCTGGCCACCAAGGAGCCAGACCAACAACTCTCCCCTGGGAAGTCTCCAAATGAACCAGGACCTGGAGCAACAGCAGAACCGGGGGCAAAGAGGTACAGGAAGCCAACCACACCCAGACTAGCCTGAAGGCATCGACCCTGACAGCCTCGCAGTCAGGGAAGGGTGCCACAAATACCGGGAGACACTTCAACCACGCCGACACGAAGAAAGCAAGAGGTCCACCTCCGGAGGCCCAAACATCTGGCAGAGCCAACTGAAAGAGTCAGCGCCGACCGTCAACTCTGGAAAGGGAGGGAAACGGGACAGGCTATATGCCAGGACAATGGAAACCCCCGAACGTGAACTGCCAGGAGAGCCAAACACCGAAAATTCAGCAGACGAGTCACCCGAAGTGACCAGCCCCAAAGCCAAGGACTGCATCAAACCCCCGTGGTTCTGGGAATGAACAACCCGAGAACAGTCCGACTGGAGCTGGATCGTCAATCCATAAGCGACCTGAATCCTCCGGAGCGTCATCCACATAGCCAAACACTTCCGCATGGAGCAGTGAGCCCAATGGAAGGACGGACCCCATCGTTCCTGGCTGGTCAGGTGAGCACTGGTCACAAAGCCCCAGCCAAGAGAAGACGCATCCGTGAACACATCGAGCTAGGGCTCAGGTAGGCACCAAGGCACTGAACCCTGAAACCCCAAAAGGAAGCATGAAGAGCAGCAACTGATGCAAAGCCCCCGGAAGTCAAATCCAGAGGTCACGAGAGAGGCAGAAGGAACATCCCGAAGGAACCCGAACAGCCAACGAAGCCACACCCAACCCGGCAGGTGCACCATCATGGCAAAGATCAAGTTCCTGCACAAACCCCTCAGGAATGACGAAGGCGGGAACGCAAGCGAAGCAGAGCCGCCGGAGGAAGAGACAAGGAAATGGTCCGAGTGACCCACACAAGACCCAGCCAAGACTGAACCCGAGAGGGAACAAGACGGGACTTCAAGTTCACCATGAACCCGAACCTGGCGAGCTGGGAAAGAACCAAAACCCTGGTGAGCAGACACGGACTGTCTGGGAGCCCAAACCAGCCAGTCGTCGAGGTAGGCCAGAACCTGAACACCTAACAGACCCAAGCGGGCCACCACGATGCGAGTAAGGAGTGTGAATATGTGAGGTGCCATATACAAACCATATGGAAGACAAGAGAACGAGAACCCAGATGCCCCACAACAAAACCAAGCCAGTCCCTGAACCGTGGACGAAACGGGACGTGCCAAGACGCATCCTCGAGGTCCAGGGACACCATCCAAGTGTCCGGCTCTAACAAAAGACGGACAGTGTAGCCTTCCAAAGGAGGGGGTAAAAACCCACAGGTACAGACGGGACAAGTCCAGAATGAAGCAGAGGTCCACACAGTTTTGTGTCAGACCAGAACAGGCGGGAACCCAGTGGGGGGACGAGGGCGTATCAATCATGCCCGAGCAAAACCACTCCGACAAAAACCTGACAGAACGCAGGACAAGAGGCCCGCAAAAGAACCGACGCACCCAAGAGTGCACGAACGGTGCGCAGGACGATCCCTCTTGCTGAACAGAACAGAAGGCACAAATCTGGCACCACCGGCCTACCATGATGGAAAAACCCTGAGTCCTGGCATGATCCTACCGGGAAGGCCCCCACGAGCCCCCCGAATGACAAAGTCAGACACAGGACGGCAACTATACGAAGCTGCCTGTAGAAGCTGCACAACCACAGACTCTGCAAACAGCAACGGCCAAAAAACCAACGTTGAATGTAATGAAACGCCATTTTCTGGGTGAGACCCGGAGGCTCCCCGGAGCTTATCCAGGCTGATATGCTAATGTCAGACTTTGGCATCAGTCATGTACATGGAGTTCTGTGGGCCAGAACCTAGCCTCCTCAGAGAGGCATGGGGAACAATCACCTATAGAAACCCCCTTGTGGTTGGAAGCATTTTATGTCTGCCATCGACCGGGTTAGGCACCCAGAAAGTTAAGCGTCCCAAAACAAACCCCTATTC